TATATATATATATATATATATATATATATATATATATATATATATATATATAATATGCATATACATAATGTATATAATATATACGTATATATAATATATAATATACAGCATATATATATATATATATATATATATATATATATGAGAGGGCAAGTCTGGTGCCAGCAGCCGCGGTAATTCCAGCTCTCAAAGTGTATATCGTCATTGCTGCGGTTAAAAAGCTCGTAGTTGGATCTGCGTCTCAGGACCTCTTTCAGCTTGCGCAGTGGATTTTTTAGGTGAGCACATTATGTGTAGAACGGACCCTATCCTGTACTTCTAAGGATCACCTACCACAGTCTAGCGGGTAGGACATGAGAGTGAAATCTTCACATTTATTTGTCATATCTATGTTTAAGGAAGAAGGATGAAGCCTTTATCATTGAAAGGTCATGATCGTGCACTGACGCGAGTGCGCATTAATAGAGACGGCGACTTGTTGTTCTCAGCGGGAAAAGATAAGAGTCCATGCGTGTGGTACATGGAAAATGGTGAACGCATCGGAACGTACGATGGTCACAATGGTGTCATTTGGGATATCGATGTCTCCTGGGACACGCGACATTTTTGTTCTGCTTCTGGTGATGTATTTGTTAAGGTAAGTCCTTTCGCTTTTAGAGTCCTACTGACATTTTTAGTGTAGACATGCTTTGACATAGTTTTAATTCTATTTGTATAAAAAACCATTATCATGCTTATGCTTGAATCCATGTTTTGATTATTCGATTTTCAGCTAGTATTCTTTTACACTGATGTGTCACCTACATGTTTGCGTCCACTTATCATAAGTGAAAAGTTGTTTTAGTTATGGAACTGCGAAACAGGCGATGTGATAAATTCAGTTTCGACACCAACGGCTGCACGATCAATTAGTTTATCATACAGCGGGAATTTGATTGCTTTTACAACTATAAAAATGACGCAGAATGTGGTTCGTCCATTATTTTATTTGCATTAAACATTATTTATTGAATTGCTCTACTTCAGGAACAAGGGGAAGCTGCATAGTGTGTAGAAAAAGACATTTATAATATTAGAGTTATGATTTCTTTCAGTGCACTGTGTACAAAATATTTAGTTTTTATTTTTTGTTTTAGACGTTCAGTATTCATTTATTTGTTCTAGTAACTTCAACAAACATTAATTCTTGCGTCAAAAAGACGAAAAGATAATTGTGTAATACAGAAACATGGCAGGATTTATTCCTGGAATCTTTAAGCGATTAAATTAATTTTCTTCAAAAGGCTAATATGCTACGTTTGGCTACAATGGGAAATTGTTGCGATGGAATGAATAACAAAAGATCGTGTTAAAGTTAAAGTAGTTAAAGGGAAGTTTGTAGTTTGAAATATTAATAAATTGAAAAATTAAGAAAAATAAAGTGAGTTTGAAATATTGGAGAAAAATAAATTATGATGTAGAATGGGTCGGGTTGAAATTGAGGTCATTTTTACTTCTCTGCTTCCTTCAAGTCGTCAAGTTATTTTTATTACCTAATTTCTAACCTGTGTAATGATTTTAGGCTTCATTGTTCGTGTACGATATACGGGATGGCTCACAAATAAGTGGTGAGAATCAGCCAACATTCAGGAAATCGCTTCAAACGCAAGCCAATTCCTGCGTTTGGACACACTTAGATGACACGATTTGTATAGGTAAGCATATGTTCATCTCGAGAGAGAAGGATTTATGCTTTTTTCTCCTTGAATGGGATATAAGCAAAAGTGAGATCCATAATTGACAAGAGGGTTGTATTTTCTGATATCCGAACATTTTTGATTTGCATAACAAGTCTGTTCATACTGCGAAACTAATGCGATATGAAAATATTTCTTGGGGAGCTATGAATAAGGTTGACTGTTTTATTAAGCCTGGTTGGATCTGAAGTTTCGAGTTGCTATCTTGTCTTATCCGGACTATGAGCTATATCCGAAAGACCAGTCACATATTTTCTTTATATTATCAGAAAGTGAAATTAGATCGCTATCAAGAAGATCCTTAATCACAAATTCTATATCCTAAGAAACGAGGCTCGTTGGCTTCAGATTTCAGCTCCCTTTATTTGTTGACATAGTTATTGCCTACAATTATTCATCACCTTAAAAAGTTTCGCGAAAATTATTGTTACGGTCGACAGGAAAAGTTCATCACTGTTATTCGAAACAGATTCACTCAATTAATCAAGCAAAGCATTCTGTTGTATTAATGTCTTTACGTAGTTTACTGCAGGTAATGAAAAGGGAAATGTCCATCAATATGATATACGCAAGGGGGATGACATTGTAAATTTTAATGATGAAGCTCATAAGTTTCAAATCAATGATATGCAAATGAGTACTGATGAAAGTTTCTTGATAACTGCTTCTAAGGATAAAACAGCTCGCTTATTTGATGCAAGAACTTTGGATTGCTTAAAGACGTACAAGTAAGTTCTACCATATATAGTTAAAAATAACAAGTTTTTAGTTTTCGATGAAATAGGAAATTGAACATTTTTTTGATGATTACTCTGACAGTTTACTTACTTTACTGTTAGATTTCGTTCAAAAATAGGTTTTAAGTTACCTAAAATGTTGTTTCATTTTATCTCATAATGTTTTAGGGCGGAACGTCCGGTCAATTCAGCAGCAATTTCACCCATTCGAGATCACATTATTCTGGGTGGTGGGGAAGAAGCAATGAAAGTAACTCAAACGACAGCTGCTTCTGGTCACTTCGAGGCGAAATTGTATCATTTGGTAAGTATTTAAATCAGTCTTGGTCTCATTTAGCTTCCGAATTACATATTGCTTCATTATTTTTCAGTATTTTAAATCTTTATGTTTTACAAATTTTCTAGAATAAGTCATTACTAAATATCTCTCTTCACAGGTATTTGAAGAGGAGTTTGCCCGTTTTAAAGGGCATTTCGGTCCAATTAATACTCTGGCGTTTCACCCAGGTGGCAATTGTGTGGTATCGGGTGGTGAGGACGGTTATGTTCGTATTCAAGAGTTTGATGCAGATTACTTGAAATTTGACTATGATTTTTGATATCAAATATTTGTAAGAAAAGGTATATGTGGCTTCGAGTTTATTCGAAAAAGATTTTCTTAAGAAAGGGGCGATTGGACGGAAAAGCGAAATGCAACATGAGAAGTAATACCGGGAATGTTGTCGTTGATTGCATGTATTTCCGCATTTATTGTTTTAATAATGTCTTGTTATGTTTTTTTTTTTTTTTTTTTTTTGTTAATTACTTGTTAAATTTTAGAATTAACACAACAGAGAAAATTTGAAACTAATTCTATCAAAAATTCAGGAATTTTATACAAGACTTAAAGTTTTTGTTGATTTTTCACTGCATAAAAAGGAAATGTCAGTCTCGCAATGAATATGAATACGATGTGTGTAAAACAATAAAACTGAATTGCGGTGACTTGCAATGGGAAATATTGGAAAAAAATGTATGAATAACTGGAAGAACTGTTGTCAGCAGAATTGAAGAGTTCCTTTTAAATGTTTTGCATACACATTTTAATATTATACTTTCAATGATAACTGAGGAGCATTCGATTCGGGCAGTAATAACGGATGAATATCCGTTATTTAACAAACGGATGGTTTACCCATTCGGATATTGCACTATTCGAAGCCCATGGTCTTGGGTAGTTATGCATATTTGGTATCTGTAATCATTTCAGGACAAAATTCATTCGAAAACTTGGTTTCACGAAGTAAGAATTGCCAGAAAGTCCCTCAATTAGTCTTGCTTACCAAAAAATATTCAGAAAGAAACTTTTTCTTTAGAATTCGAACAATTTCGTTTATTATATGTTTTTCATTTGAGTGGAGAAAAGGCTTTCTAATTATTATCTGCAACAAATTATGCATTTGTTGAAATGTTTGTTTAATCGGTCGCCTTTGAAGTCTTACTTTCAAGCCAGCCACTAGACCCACTCTGGACAGGGTGGGTGGTCTTCACGCATTTCCCCTCCAAGAAAAAATGAACGACTTTTTCTGAAATAACCAACAGTTGGGCAAATAAAATGATTTGTTATCTACAATTCAGGAGAGAGTTCAACAAGCAACCACATGACGGATTGAAATTTTTCGAAAATGATTTACGGATTCTAAATGCAATAATTTCCATGCTTTCAGGATGTCAATTGTCCAGAATTCCATATATCACATTGTAATGAGTTACTTTCACAACTCACCACCGATCACTATATTTAGGTATAATGTAATTTGAAATTATACGCTAGTCTTAATTATCAAGGGCTTCAGCTCATTAGATTAATTGATTTCAATTGTGTGGTTGGAGTTATTAGATGAAAAATCAACTCAAGTCGCTGCTATCAATTTCTATTACCTTTCTCTCATCTATTATCTCAGAAAATATGTTTAATTAATTCGCATTTTAATATTTTAAAGCCTGTCTGGAAAGTGCTCAGAATTGAATTGTAGCAAAGTTGTCGAAAAAATTGTTAGTTATTCTAATACCTTAACTAAGTAAATTCCAGTTTGAAGTATCGTCTTAATTTAGTGCAAATGCTATTTGTAAATGGTGCCTCACTGCATGTGAATGGTACCTCACTTCGTAAATCCCTTTTTACGCTTCTTTTTATGATATATGAACAAACTTCCAGGGATATCTGTAATTATATGACCTGGAAATATGATAAATTACGGAGCAGTAGCAAAACCTCAGTGAGAGTAGAATAAGCAATCTATTTGGGTCGAGTTGTCACTCGACGGAGGTTGTTTCAATGGAGCATGATTTACAGCCACATCTTCCTTCCTTCACTCCACCGCCTCAAACATCAGTGATTTATGTCAAAATGCCGCCTAACAAACACATTAAATTTTTTTTTTTTCACAATTACCCAATTTATTGAGTAAATTATTAGGCCAGTCAAATTTAATGTTCTTTTTTCCTCAAATCCCCTATTCTTTTGTAAATTCTTTGTCTTTCTAAATTGAATATAAGCGGGATGGATTATTCAATTTAACTCAACCATAATTTAGAAATAACTCCACAAATGAAGAAATTGCTCTTGAAATTTCTTATACCGTCAATATTACTTAGTAAGAGATTAGATCAAGCAGGAAGTTTTATAATTGTGAAACTTTTCACTTTAGTCATATATCAGCTTAAGTTGCAATGCTTCAGATTGAACCTTGAGCCAGACCAGGGATAATCATCCACTGCAAAAGTACTTGTATTTGTTGTAAGAAATCTGGTAATAAAGAAGCAGGTAAGTTTGTTACGGTTAGGTGGATATGGATACTATTCCAAAATCGGTGATATTATCCGGTATGTAGCAAGCAGCATCCTGAAAATTTCAATCAACAAGAATTATATTAGTAATTGGAAGGGTTGTAAAAGTTGATCCCTGTGTGTAATTGCAATCGAATTATAGTATTCATCGAGCAAGAACAGTATTCGCTCATTTATTTATTCAGAGATGGTTTCATATTATTAACTTACACACACCACACCCTTTTCCGAACAATGTCATAATTACCGTGTTTGGAACTACTCCCGCATTCGGTCCTTTTTTGAAGCCATAGCCGCGGCGTACCTCAATGGGATCATTCACGGTCATAAGAAGTCACAAGAAAATGCGCTAATGGGTGACGTCGGCAAAATAGAAGCTGTGCTATGGCTCCTGTATAATTTATTCTAAATTATAGTATGTTTCCTAGCGCATCCATCTGGAATGAATTCTTCTTCCGATGGAAATGGTACTGTGATGAGTATGCTGAAAAAGAAAAGTGTAGATAAAATGTGGGTGTAAAGAAGTACTGGTAAATCTCGGGAACCATTGCACCGTTTTAAATGTGCACTCTAAACTTTGAATTATTTTCAAATGCCGGTTGCTCTTCAACTGAGTTGTAGTTCGTTTCGCAAAGTGACATTAGTTCAAGAATAACAGCAGATAACATACATTGCGATGAAAGGAAGACGCCAATGGAGATGTTCGAGATGAAGATGGATCATCGATTAGTGGTAATTGCAAATGTTGAAATTTAGGATGAAATGATTTTGAAGAGACCAATTTAGAGATAAATTAAATTGTAATCATTTTTCATCAAACAAATCATGTCATCAAGAAGCTCGAAACCATTTCTTGTCTTGGGTGCATGAGCCATTCCCTTCCTAAATGGAAGCCGCCCTGTTATTGTTCAATTAAAGGGGACATCTGCCATTTCATTACATGGCTTTTATGATTACATAATCTTCTCTCTCCTCATTATTTCTCTCTGAAAAAGATAGAGAGAGGATGAGGTGACGCCTTGTTACAGTACACTTTTTACAGCAGGTTTGAAATCTTGAACTCCATTAAGTTTATGCTTACAAAGAAACAGTTAATGAATAACTCTGTTCATTTACAATTATCATATGTATTGCTGTGAAATACTACGGTGGTACAGCAGTAGTTAACTCTTTAAGTACTGTAACTTTTATGAATTTTCAGGATGTTGAAATTTTTCATTTAAGGAATTGGTGTTTGATCTAAAATCGATCGAAATGTCACATGAAATATTTCACTGTCTCAATGAGAGTCTTGTCCTGCTTTTCCATCGCTACTTTTCCATCCTTTTTCCATCCCATTCTCCCGGAGATTCCCCTCAACATTCACTAAACATTGCTCTCCGAGATGTATTACTGAACAATTTTGCCACAATAAGCAAAAAAAGGACCGTATGAATATTACAACACATATGTACATAATTGACTTACCCTCTTGCCGTATTGTTCACCTTTCAACGATACTAATTTACTGAAAATTTAACCCAATAAAGCATCTTCTCCCTCTCATCTCTCGCTTATGCCATGGAGACAATGTCAACCCATCACCTTATTTCTTCTCTCGTTTTCAACCAATAAATTATCTTTTTCTGTACTTCTCTTTCTTACTTTATATAAATGATCATATCTTCATTCAATAAAACTGATTCGCCATTTATTGAATTTCAAAATTCCTTTCGAAGATATTTTTTGTTAGAAATCCTAAATAATCTACAGACATACAGAATTCAGTATCCTACTTGCTGTACTATGCTAATGAATGACATTTCAAAAATGTCATAAAGTAAGTCCAGGATGGAAGGGACAGAAGTAGTTATTGTAACATATCATTACAATCAGATTGAATAGTGTAGGACGGTACGATTAGTGATATCATAGAGTGATATTTCGCCACTGTTAATGATGATCCTTCCAATCCACCAATATTCTGCTTCCTTTTGACATAAATTATCATTGCACCTAAAACAACCAAACAAAAACACAAAGTTTGAATAAACATTTGAATTGGCGATGACGAATGGATTGATCATTTCTTGTTAAGCTATTCATCGATTGTCACAAATAATACATCCTTTCATTCCTTGACATCCAAACCCGCTGAAATATCTCAAATTACTCTTCCATCCCTTGTTATCCTCCTTATCACAAGTCGTCCATTAAGAGTAATATTATATCCTATTTCATTTCTCCTTCCCGTTTGCTCTACTTTAAATAACAACACAAGTATCCACATGCGCTCAGATGGAAATATGAAGACCGAATTCTGCATATCATGCAGAATTTGTGGACATTTTGGATTACACATGCAAATGCAAGCCAAGTAAATACACATAAACATATGATAGTGCTACCAGTTAAGTCACCGTCTATCCTATTGTCAAATTTACATCAACGAAATATTGATATTGTCAAAATTAAATGTGATTGCACAGTTCTCATCGGGAGATATCATCATTTTATCATTGCTTATTATCAGTGACATATCACTGATGATTCCTATCAGTGAGCTTGCTTGGAGAAAGATTTGCTTGAACAGTCCTCGAAAACTGCAAGAGAGTTGAGAGTTAATGTACGGTAAAGGGTAACTGGTATTATTACTACGAAATGAATAGATTTATTTAAAATATGACTTAATGAAAAAATAAAAAATCGCTGAAATTCATCGTGACAAGTTCCATAAAATGACAAAACCGATAAATTTAAGAAATTGAGTAAAACTTTAAATCAAAAGAAAAGAACACCAAAGTTAATTAATTATTTATAGTTCATTAGCCGTACTTCGGATCCCTCAACATCCATTGCTCATGTCTTTTTTTTTTTACCACAGTTTCCCAACGATGTCTGAGTAAAGACAACCTGCCACAATTGAATGATTATAGGATCATTGGGATGAAAGCAGTACCGCGTACAAATAAGCCCACAAAATGATTGTCAGAAGCAACTGTTTGCAGGATCCTTGAATGTTTCTCTATGATTTATGCTTATTTTAGAATTCTAACAATAACATAAATATGTCACCGCGGTATGCGGAATCCAAGATATCGCGGGATACTTATCTTGAAAGCTCAAGTGAGCCAAAAAGATAAAAATGGTATTTAAAGCGAGTGTTATGAAAATAGTTGAAGAAAGGCATGTGTGGAAATTTCGATCGGAATGTTGCTATTCGAGTAATCTTTCTGCAAAGAAATATCTGATAGCTTTTCAACATTTGTTAAGCTATCGTTTGGATTATCTTCACGTCTGATCTACCTATCCTTTTAGACTTCCTTTGGTAGATTCATGAATTTGATTTCAATTTCTTTTTTTCAAAAACAATTCGAAAAACATTTCCTATGCTCTTATGTACATATATAATCTACTTGGAATATTTCTAGTCTTATTACTGGATATTTTGAGATTAGTGGCTTTCTTTCTAAGTTAGGAGATCCCAACCAATTGGGAAAAGTCTTGTCCTGATTGATGTTATTATATTAAATAATCATTTAGTACTAACTTGTTAACTTCTCATAGACTATTATCATTTAGCAAGAATGCTTGCAAAATAAGTTGATACCAATGAGTTTAAATTTGTATCGATCTTGCTCAGCTAAATTTAACCTAATTTAAATTCAAGGAAATGATTGTGAAGTTTCTTTAGCACATACAACCATTCTATATGCAAGAAATTCAAAAAATAACCTGAGAGAAAGGTCATCGCTTTCAGAAAAACATTCGGTACACGAAATTTGTTAAAATAATGATACTATCTGTAATATGGGAAAAATCCGGGATATCCCGGAAAGCTTTGCAAGCAAGCAATTATGTGCTCTATATGTTTTTTTTTCTTTTATTTTTATAAGATAAGACCATAATTGAAAAATCCTTCTCGGGAATCGGGTATATATCAAAATGCTATACTGCTCTTTGATAACTCGTCACTTAAGAATTATCTAACTAATTAACTTCTTGCTTCAAGCATGTATAAATTGTTCAAAGACAATTGTAACAGGAAAACAAAAATTTGAAATAAGGTTTAAATAAAAGCGGCTTAACCATTAATCCACTTTGCATCACTAAAACTTAAAAGGAGAAGTTTATTGCAACGATTTCGAAAGAAAATTACGACACAAAATTTGCAGTACGATCATTTGCAGCAAATTATTTCAGCTACAAGTTGAAAAATTTTCCAATTTATGAAAAGATCATTTGTGGACTATTCATTTATGCATTTTCTATGAAAGGATAACATGTTTCTTATAATGAACTAAGTTAATTTGCATAATGGAAGTTTGACATTTTGAAAAATTAGCTATGATATAAATACAAAAAACTAATATTGGCAACATCGGCATCTATAAACTACTGCTATTTACAATAATGTAACAAAGCAATATCCCTGCATTTTGTACTAAACAAATATTTCAGCAAATTTTTTTGACACTAATATGAAATATAACCGCCATCGACATCAGCAGCACAAGGATTTATCCATAAGATCTCGGGAAGCAATTCTGGAAATCTCCTCATTTGTTTAAAAAAACTTTTGAACTGATGTATTTGTCACTCTCGGTTCAATTCGAGATTGGAACTGCATCTTGAAAAAGAAAAAAGATTTTAAGCAAAAAACTAGAACAGTTAAAAAGTACTGTTTTAATGATAATCAGTAATTACTGAGGTAGTGAGCAAATATGCTCGAAATGAATCAATTATCCGGATAGAAACTAATAATAGCATTAAATTGAAATACAAAAAGCAAAAAAGGCTTTTCTTTTGTCTTAAATGTGAAGCGCTAAGGAAGATTGTTGATAAGCGAAACTGAGGGATCTCAATGGTCGTAGTTCTACTCGCTGCATGATGGCGATGATAAATCAGAAGCATTCACTTGAGGCGAAAATTCGAGGTCTGTGCCCATATTGACCGAGAAAAGATGATTGCTCGATCCGGTTCCAGGCATCATACCACCGTAACCACTGTTATTCAGATCATTTCCCAAATCTGCATAGTGAGGTGGCGGTGGTGGCATCTACAACTAATTTAACATGACAATAAGTAAATCTTCAAAGTTTTAAAAAATTCCTGAATTTATTCGAATAATAAATTGCGCGTTAACATATATGTCACTTTCAATCTCAGAAGTGATGATTAAGCCAAATTTATGCAATATGCAAAGCAAAGAAGCGAAGAGGAGAGAAATGGGAAGAGAGGGGGATAACATTTGGAAAGATACTACTTAGTATCCTCTACTTATTGAAGGAAGGAAGTGATGTAAATGGTTCGCGAACTTTGAAGTATGTTTGCGCAGCTGTTGGCACGGTAAGGAAAAAATACAGGAGCTGAAGCAAAGAATTGAGCACACATGTGTCAAGCACTAAATACAGAAGTCAGTTGTCCTATGCTATTATTTTATTTATTTAAATTAAATGTAATTCTAGCTAGTCTACAGTTGTGCCCTCCAACTAGTTTCAAGTTAAGACAACTAGTCTAATGCAAGACTGAAAGTCCGTGGCTTATGATTACAACGTTTGATAACTTGCGAGATTTGAGGATTTTCGTTATTTCTTTGACATCCATCATTTTGTTTTGAAAAAATACATCGTCCAAATGTTCATCTAAAAAGAAATATTAAAAATGTGATAAATCATACAATTTGAGCATACGGTGAAGGTTGCTGCAATGTGGACTGCAATGCTGCATGCTGAGGTTGTTGCATGCCTCCTTGAGCATTCATTGCTTCCATACCGGACCAGATATTCGGATTCTGCGGAAATTGATGAATATCCACAGGTTGGATACCAATCAAGTTTGGATCACTGTGTGGTGTTGGTGATGTAGCTATCAGTGGACCAACACCGCCCAGTCGCACGCCCGTAATAGCTCTTTCCTGGAAAATATAAAAATTTATAAAAATCACAAAAACAATAAAAATCACAAAAACAATAATCACAAATTCATCCTATCGACAACCATAAAGTAAAATTACTTATGACTAATTAACAGCATAATGATAATTTATAAATCAGTGATAGGAATATCGATTGCTCTTTAATCACTGAATATAATTAAGTTTTCTAATTTGATATCTCGGCTGGCTTAATAATTTGAATTTTTTCCCTTAGTAACCTTAAGCTTAGATAAAAAACGAAAATAATTTCATAATACACAGAATAGACCAGAAATCTTTTTTGGATTTCCCATTGAATCCATTAACTTAAGACAAAACATTACGATGAAGCTATCCAGAATCATTGCTGGTTGATAACTTTTCGTAAAGAGTTAAATTCTGAATATTGACCTAATGAATTTAGGATTTTCTCCACTTCTTTTATTCATTGTCCATTTTCTCGAGTATTTCAGGGGTAATATTGTATTGCGACACAATCGCTGTCAACAAACATGAAAATCCACTACTGGTCATTGTGTCGTCTTTTACCTCATCTCCATTATAAATAAATAAGTAATATCTATGGGAATCAATTACCATTAAATAATCAAAAGTGCTAGAAAAGCAACCTAGTGATGATTTCCGCTGAAATTACAGGCCTAATTTCAACTTAATTTAAATTTTAATTACAACTATTAATAGTGCAACAATCAAATTTATATCCTTTAACCATTCACATTTATACTTTTCGAATTGAATAATAGATAAGGCAAATTTTTTGTCATCCCTCATTGGACAAGTTACTTACGACACTGATGTCATTATCGCATGGAGTAATTTCATCCGTTGGTAGCTTGGAAAGGCCTTGATACCATTGGTCTGCACATTCATACCTTTCTTGTCGTAGCGATAGTAGGGGTGAGATATCATTTACGCTTCAAGCTGGCATCTATGTGGTGACAAACGAAACGAGACGGATGGATGACGATCGGCACGGCGATGTGTATGGCCTCTTCCGCTTCATTGGATTAAATATGAACCATTGAAGTGCTTCATTCCATTACGGTATTTGAATTCGGGCCTATGGCTCACTTGTTTACTTGAATACCTCCACACACACACACACACACACACACACACGCATACACATACACATACATACACATACACACATACACACACACA